GTTAACGTCTGCCTGCAGTCACTAATGGTGTTACTTAAAACTCATCTTTGGTGATCAAAATGACATATGTAAACATTTTTCCCCATGAAAGTGATTTCTTTATGTCTTAAAATGGCTTGAATGATACTCTATACCATTACCTCATTCAGTATATGTGGAGTCTCTTATTAAAGAGATAGTTCACCCAAAAATGAAAGTCTGTCATTAGTTACTCACCCTCATGTCATCTAAAACCCCTATGACCTTTGCTCATCTTCGGAACACAAATTAAGATATTTTTGATGAAATCAGAGAGCTCTCTGACCCTCAATAGACAGCAACGCAACTACCAAGTTAAAGGCCCAGAAAGGTAGTAAAGACATCGTTGAAATAGTCCATGTGACATTTCAGTGGTTCAACCATAATTTTATGAAGCCACGAGAATACTTTTTTTTGTCTGCAAAGAAAACAAAAAAAAGAGTTTATTCAACAATTTCTTCTCTTCTGTGTCAGTCTTCGACACTCTTTCATGACAGTACCACGACACATGCGTGTGCATTCCTCTGCTTGCAAAGCTCGCCGGCTCCTTCCTGTGGTGCGTAACGCTGAAAAAAAAAAAACTTGTTGTAAATAGAAATCTAAAGCCAGTGGATGAAAAGCCCTGTCCCGCAAGTTGACGGGATTGGTCAAATGTCTGTAATGTAGAAAATGGTTTGACTTTGAGCATATGTGACCTGTGCTGGCTAAATGAAATGGAACGCGCACAGGCTCATTTTGAGCTACAGACAAAAAAAGGGGAAAATGTCGATAACGGCGCTTCTGCTAGCACGCAATCCAATATATTCACATACCGTATACACAAAATTACTGTATTTAAGTAAGCTATTCACGCAAACATATTGGCCTGGTTTCACAGAAGGGGCTTAGACTAAGCCAGGATTAGGCCATAGTTCATTTAGGACATTTAAGTAATTTTTATAAATGTGCCTTAGAGAAAACATTACTGGTGTGCATCTTGAGACAAAACAAAGGCACTGATATATTTTAAGATCAGTCAGTGCAAGTTTCTTTCAGTTGAAACAGCTCAGACTTACATTTTAGTCTGGGACTAGGCTTATGCCTTGTCTATGAAGCCGGGTGAATCTGTTATGCCTTAAGTGAACGTTTGGGGAACTGTTGGGGAAAAACACCTGATGTGTAGCATTATATTAGATCCGTGCGCATTACAATAGGTCTTAATATATAGACCATCTGTCTCATTAATGTTAACCTAACAATAAAAGAAAGGTCGCTGCTCTTGATTGAACTGCTTTTGTAGTTTTAATAATCAATT